GAGAGAGAGAGAGAGAGAGAGAGAGAGAGAGAGAGAGAGAGAGAGAGAGAGAGAGAGAGAGAGAGAAATGGAGGGAGAGAGAGCTTCTTCGTTTTCTTCTTCTTCTTGTTCCTATTTGAATTTCTCTTCTTCTATTTCTTCTTCTTGTTTGCTGTTGTTGTTTTTTTTTCCTTTCATCTTATTCTTCTTCTCAGTTGCAATTTTCTTTTCTTTGTTATCTTCTTTGGTGGGGGTTATATTTTTTCTAAGACCCCGGGCCCCTGAAAACGAAATATGCAACCCCCTCACATTTCTTTTTTTTTATTTTCTTGGTTGGCGGGGCCAGGGCCTTCCTGCGCAGGCAGTGCCTGCGCCCTGCTATCCGGCGTGCGCCTCTGCCTGGCCGTGGCGCGACCGTGCGTAAACTCGGCCACACGGCCTAGGCCGCAGGGTCGCTGCTGGTCTCCTCCGCCGTGGGATCCTCGGGCGAGGGTGCCACGGCGCAGCCACGACGCTGCCACGTAGGTAGCTCATGGGGAGGACACTCTGAGAGCCCTGGAAGGACACTGACGCAGAGTCTCCATGCTGCCTTTGGCTGTGGAGCCCCAAATTCGTTGCCTTTATTTGGGCTGTGAATGCACCAAGCCAGCCATCCTGGCCACCTGTTTTTCTCTCTCTGAGGTTCTTGTCTCTGAGTCTCTGACTTGGCCTTATGAGGAGTGTTTCATGAAGGGTTGCTTTATTTCTTTATTCAAGTTTATTGTACTTAACTACGGCGCAGTCACAAAAGTACAATAAAGAAATAAAGCAACCCCTTCTTAAAAACTGCTAAAGCACAGTTTGTAATTGCATTTCAGACTGTGCTTTAGCAGTTTTGTAGTCAGGGTTTGAGTTTCAAATGCAGTTGAAACTGGGGGTGGCCTTTTTAGCAGTTCAGCCAGACACATGGCCCCTTTTTCCTTTTTTCTTTCTTTTTTGGTTCCATCCCTCCCCCCCTCTCCCATGCCCCCCATGCCCCCCATGCCCCCCCCTTCTGGTGTGGCTGAGGCATCAGGGCCGTGGCCATACAACCAGATGCTTTTTTGTTTTTCTGCCCTCGTGTGTGGCGGAGACTTATCGGCTGTGGCCCCGCCACGTGAAAAAAGGTCAGCCCAAGTGTTAACTGAATTTGAAACTCAGGCCCTGACTTACCTGCGAAAATGCAGTTTGAAATGCAATTACAAACTGTAACCCTGACTGCGCCGTAGTTTTCTATTTTTCTTAATATGGACAAAAGCTTTCAGTAGCGTTTGGTTCTTCATTTAAGTGTTTGGAAAACATGCAAAAAAGACTTTAGGGGTAACTACGGCGCAGTCACGAAAACAGTTCGTAATCGCATTTGAAACTGCGTTTTAGCAGTTTAGTCAGGGCCCGAGAAACTCAGGCTTCGCAGTTTAATCAGGGCCCTCGTCTATCCAGGAACAGCAGATAAAAAAATAAAAATAAAACAACATCCCATATGCTGTGATTCCCGTCATATACAGGATGCTACAGTGTTTGTGGGGAACTGAATGAAGCAAGGCAGTTAGCTGCCTCGCGTGGAATCCGCCCTGCCTGGCTGGCAGGGGGCTACAAGGACCTCACAGAAGAAACAAAAAAGGAAAACGACCTGTTTCATGTTTCCTCACTTCCTGGCCAGATACATTCCTCAAAGCACTGGTGAGGTGAGGGCCTTCCCGACGTAGGTGGATTCAAAAATTTGGACCATTTCTCTATTTATGCGTGTCATCCTTGCTTGCGCAGGGGCCATGCTAATCTTCTGTATCGTTTCAATTTTAACGGATGTCTCGGAGGACAACCTAGGTGGATTCGAAGTTCCTCCTTTTTTACTTTTTTATTTCTTCTTTTTCTTTCTTTTTTTTGGCCTCCATCCCTGCCCCGAGGCCCCCAATTCTTCGGAGTAGGCTCTCTTGAGACTTTGCTTTTGGCTGTGAAGGGTAGTGCCTGCAAATCTCTTGGCTGAGAAATCTCGGCCCTGGCCAATCTGGGGTGTGGCCGAGACATCTATCTCGGCCGTGGCCAGTCTGGGGTGTGGCCGAGACCTCT